CAGTCCCTTAGCAACTCAGGACCCTGTAAAGCAGAGAATGTCATATTGCCCAGTCCAGGGGTAACTCCAAAGAAGAGGCCCTAAAGTGGACTAACCAAAGAGACAGCAGCCCCCGTACTTGACTGAGTACTAGAAAGTGCCTAGATTTGATTTGATTCCAAGAGAGAAAGAAGTTTGGTTGTGATAAAAATGAAGTTACAAGTTAGCACACCTGAGTTTATAACCTTGAAGTTCAGATCTTCTACAGAGATATTCAGATAGCCACTTTGGAATTTGGTTTACAGTTTCTTAGCGTATGCAAAGTTTGGCTTCGAATTCTGAGATTCCAGAAGGGTTTTGGCACGTTTGCCTCAAAGTCAGCAAACTCTGCCCTCCCAGGTGTAGGTGAAGAGAAAGAACCTAAGAACTGCCCAACCTGGCCTAGAGGGCAGCAGTGCTCAGCTGACCCTGGTCCAAGGCCTTCCTGATCTCTCCTGGCACATCCACTCAACACAGAAAACCCAGGGCTGCTGATTCTGTTGTGAGGACCTCTGTGACCCATGTTCTCTTCTCTCTAGGACTCCCTTCAGCTGGTATACCTGGCACCGAGATGCCACCTGCCATGGGGCAGTTAAGCATCTTCCTCTGTGCATGGATTTACTCTCAAGCCTCCATTCCAAGGCTCAGCTATGTGCCTGGCACCTTCCCTCCCCTAGCAGGACAGAGATGGGGGTGACTTGCCTTGGATGAAAATATGCAGGGATACCAGAAATTTGGTCACCAAAGTAAATACCTTTATCTTAAAAAAAAAAAATCAAAAGTGATGGAAACAATGGACAGTGAACCAAATATTAAGATTCTAAATAAAGACGGGGTCCAACTCTGCCCTTTCATGACTTTTCCTCACTTGTCTCACTCTCATCCTGGATCTGGTTCCAATAAAACCTTATTTATAAAAGCAAGAGCCTAGTCCATAGGCTGTAGCTATGGACTTTTAAAATCCTTCCTTTAAAAATGGTTAGACTTTATAAAACATCACATTACACCGTCTCGTCTTTGACAATGGACTCTTGGGGCAACCCCATGTTTTCCTTGCCTGGGTCTTTTGTCCCACACCTCTTGCCTGAGCCCAAGCCCCTTCTGCTGCAACCCCAGCAGCCCCTGTCTTCCTGCTGGAACTGACATGGCTTTGGGAAGGAGCTCTAGCCTGCCAGCCCTGTCCCCTGGAGCCCTGGCCTGTGTGTTTAGAGGGACACATTCAAACCATAGCAGGGCGGCTAGTAGTCCCAGTGATCAGGCACCCCAGGACACATGGGACAAACTGCTGGAGCCTGTCCCTGCAGGAACATCAGAGCAAATTTTGGGAACAGATGTTTGAGCCCCAAGTGGGAAGTTAAGTGCCTACATTCTTGTTTGCACAAGTGAACAATTCTTCTGAGTGAGGAGGTCACCAGAAGGAGGCACCTGATCTTGGGATGAAGGTCAAATTGTGTCTGAGGCCAACCAGAGTCCACATTCCTGGGGAAACACATTCAGAGCACTTCAGAGAGGCTACAAATAGCCAATGGCTGGATAGAAAACAGCAAAGCAGGTTTGAGGACCACCCCTGGTGCTCATGTGATCTGGGCCACCAACTAACTCTGTGGAAGGGCCACAGAGACTATGAGAGGTGACAGCTGCTGAGATGCTCACTGAGTCTCAGCCCCATAGAGAAGGGCTGAGAGGGTGAGGTTGCAGGAGCCTTGGGGTCCTCATACTTCTATGGGGTGTCACCAGCCCAGCTTTGACACCTCTTTGAAGGTCTGTTTGGCCAGGGGCAAGAAGCAAGCATGACTCCAGTACCACAGGGTAAGACTCCTGGAGCAAGAGGATCAAGCAGCTATCCTGGCCACCACCCTGGAGCCCTTGCCTGGGAAGGCCTGGGGCAGCATCTCCTAGGCTGAAGGTCATCATGAGCCTCAGCTCTTTTTCTTCCCCAAGGTGTACAGGACAGAGGAGTGATCACGGGAAGGGACCTCGTGGGGGCTGTCCATTAGTGCAGGGGGTGGCCACTTTTCAGTCACCTAGGAGGCACAGATGACCATTTTCTGCCCACTACATACCATGAGTCAACCCACGGGCATCTGTCCAGGGGCATCCACACCTTGGCCTTGTCCTAACAGACTTGAGCAAGTGGAGGTGGAACCATCAAGAGAGATAAGGACTTGGAACAAGGACAGGAGGAACAAGAGGGCATGAATGGCTGATTCCCTGTCATGGCGGGGAGAATGTGGAGAGGACCAGCAGCTGGAGGGCAGTCGCCTGGGCCCCCAGGGTGGGAACTTGCTCTCTACCATTGGGGAGGGGACACTTCAGAGTGCCATGTGCCTGTACCGGGTTGTTTTCTGTTGTGTAACAAAATACTTGAAGCAGGACACTGATAATGGTTGATTTAGCTCACAGTTCTGGAGGTCAAGAGCATGGCACCCACAGATGCTAGGCTCTGGTGGGGGCTTTGTGACAGACAGAATCACAATGGTGGAAGCTCTCATAGCAACCAGAGGGATTCAGGGGTCAGATTCACTCTTGTGCAACAGCCCATTCTCTCTAGAACGAGCCCACTGGTCAAGACCAGCACTATGCCTTTCATAGGCAACACCTCCACTGATCTCACCTCTCACCAGTCCCCACCATCTCTCAGCACTACCACATGGGGAACCAAGCTTCCAACATATGAGCCCCTGGTGGACACATTAAATCACATCCAACCACAGCAGTGCCACCAGAGTGTCACCTCACTCTTCCAATACAGGCTCACATGACAAATTTCTACACCTCAGATCTCCTCATGTTGTAAAGTCAATCCAGCGCATGGCAGGCAGCAAGAATACATGGCAAAACTTACAGAGCATGCATGAAGCTCTGTCCTGTCTGAGGGACAGGCACGGGCTGCTGGAGACAGGAAGCGGCTCTGTGGGCAGCTAGGGAGGGAGTCCGCCCAGCTGCAGGGTTCTGGGGAGGAATGGAGTCCCTCTGAAGGGGATGGTAGAGACACGGGAGTCTGGTGAGGCAGTAAAATGGTGCTTGGGGACCACAGGTGTAAAGTGAGGAATTCTTTGTGAATACAGGTAAGCGGTTCCCATACCTAGGGTCCTGGCAGGGGCAGCAGAGTCTGCCAGGTGCAGGGCACTGGGCAGGTCAGTGAGGGAGGAGCCCAGTTGTCAGACCCAGGCACAGGCAGAGGCCACAACAGCAGTAGTGAGGCTGAGGCCTATGTCATCCTTACATCCCTCTGGCTAAGACCAGGCCTGGCCATGAAGGTCAGGCTGTGAGGCAATGAGCCAGAGCTCAAAGCAGCTGATGGCTAGATGCGAACGGCTGGGCATCAGGGTCCCACCCTAAGTGGGGAGGCCAGGCTCAAGGGCGCTCCTAGGTCTGAAGGTCCCCTGAAAGCGACCTCCCTGGCCTGACAGGTGGCACAGGTAAAAGGAATGCCCAGGGCTCTGGATTCCAAGACCAAAACATCCTGGTAGCATCCTTCTCAGTCAGGGCTATGGACATGCCACCTACAAAGAGACTTGCCCCTCATCTATAAGAGAAGGGCAGTAACACCTCACTCTAGGGTTCTGAGAACTCTGAGGACAGGGGCCCAAGTGCAAGTTCAAAAACAAGACTTTTAGGAAGCTGGCATCTCTTTTCCAGGGGGAAGAATCCAAGAAACCCACCTCTGTGCGCAGCCATGATTTCTGGTTGTTGAGCAGAATAAATGACTCATGCAGAAGAGTGGCGAGTGAGTCCTTGAGAGGGTTTCCCATGGGAGGAGAGCATGGGCTCAGCAAGGTGGCATACTCAGGGACACCCACCCCCAAACCATCCTGTGTGACACAGAGAGAAGCTGCCCACTGGCAGCAGGGGACAAGGGGGCCCGACACCCTCAGGTCTAGAGGCTGTGGTCACATGGGGGAGCAGGAGATGGACACGGGAGAGACCCCAGTTCATCTTTTCATCAGCAGCCCCCATGTTCATTAAAAAAAGAGAAGAAGGCCCCCAACAGTGTCACCAGTGTTAAACTCAACTTGTGAACAATCGAACAGTGCCAATTTGTAAGATGGCTCTCTTGACTTGCTGTCTTCATTGAGAAAAACATGATTTTTTTTTAAACTTACAGGTGAAATGTTTTCTCTCAGCTTACAAAGGAAGTGACCCTGTGGAAAGTTGCTTGGCTATTCTGCAGGGTGGACACCTGCTCTGAGAGTTTCACTCCTGCTTTGCAGCTGTTCAGGGATTATTTCCCTGTAGGCCCTGGGGACACCCTCTCCTGGGAGACACAGGTCCTTCCACCCTCCCCACTCAGAAGGGCACAGCAGACATAAACACACATTAGACGTCTCAAAGCGTAAAGAACGCCCTCGTGTTCAGCATGGGATCTTTATTCTTTAGGACTTCGGGCCCCAGATATTAGCTTTCAGCAGACACACTTTCCAGGGGCTGACAGGAGAGCAGGGATGAGCAGTACCCTCAGTCAGAGATGTGGGTAGACTTCAGGGCAGCTTCAAAAGGTGCATTCTGGGAATGAAGCAAAGGTGTTAAGGAGACCAGTGTCATTTCTACACACAGCTGCCTAGCTTCTCAAGGGCAGGACAGTCTCCAAGGCCATAGCTGGGAGAATAAGTGGACCTGGGAAGTTCAGGCAGGTGATAGGTGAAACGGGCCTCCACAGGGCCACCACTCAAAAAAAAAAAAAAAAAAAAGGTGGGGGGGAAAGGGCTCCCCAGAAGGGAGCCGGAGTCATGGGGACAATGGCCAGCTTCCTCCACTGAGCCCAAGCTTTACCCAGCCTTCTTCACTGGCTCTGCCAAAGGAGGGAAGCCCTGCCCAAGGGCTGGCCTCTACCCTTAGTCAGGGACCAGAGCTGTTGGAACTCAGCCTCCTCCTGCTACCCCAGGTCAAAGGACATATCTGGCTCTCTGGGATGCGGAAGGAGCCTCATGCAGGTACATTCTTCTTCGAAGGTGAGCTGGCTCCTGGACGTGCCAGCTGGCTCACAGCAGGCAATCTCGCCCAAGATGTGGTGGGGTGCGGCCCAGGTAGAGCCAGGTGGTGAACCACCCAGGTACATGGCCACCTGCTGCTTGCACAGGCACAGTCCCTCCCAAGGAGGGAGTCCTCCCAGTGGGAGCTGGGCGAGGGGAGGGGGGAGGGAGACACCAGGCCACCACACCTAGCATGGCCACCAGCTGCTGTCTGCTGTGAGTTTGCCACAGGTGACAAGGGACTCTTGTTGGTTGCTGAAGATACCCTCAGAAGTTGGCCCTGCTTCTAGGTCTACTCATTTTCCATTTCTCTCTAGGCTAGTGTTTAAACCCGTTCCGTCTATTTAATGCCTTAACTTAGGACACCTTTTTGAAAGCATTGCATTTACATTTTCCAAAAAGGGGACAAAAGGAGCCAGCCATTGGCATATGAGGCCTCCACCAAAGGCCAGTGATGTTGCTGGGCTGGTGTCCTGCGGAGGCCTGGCATGTGTGGCTTCCTGGAGACCTGGCTCAGGCAGGACATAGCCACCCTAGGGTTCTGTGTACACAGGCCTGCCTGCTGGGCCTTACCTGTCTCCTGCAGAGGCTTGAAGCACCAGGGCACCTGCCGGATGCTGGAGTCGAAGCAGCAGCCCCGGTTGTTACACTGCTCCTGGGTGACCCCAGGGTAGCCGCAGTCCACCCTCTCCTTGGCTGGGACCTTACATTGGTTCTCCGCTGTCCAAATGAAACCCAGTCAGTCGCCAGAACCCTACTAGCTCAGGGTTAGGCTACTTGTTTCAGTTTGCAGTTTACAACCCATCCCCTGCCACTAAGGTCAAAGATGGGGACATCCCTGCTCCTGGGAGGATGGCATGTGTGTCCATGTGAATGTTTAAAGAGACCCAGTCATTTGCCCGGGTTCTCACTTTGTCAAGAAGTCCCGGGTACCCTCCAGCTGGCAGAGCCCATGGGAATTCAGGGTCCCCTGAACCCAGAAACAGATCCCTCTTCTTGTTTGATCAACAAAGACTTGCCCTCCCCCCTTTTAAATGAAAGTGTGTGGGGAGAAACACCCCAATGCACGCTGGCTAGTTTTGACTGCTCTTCTGTGTCTAGCTTGTCAACAGGCATGTCCTTCAGTGTCCCACGTTCCTGGCTCAAGCAGGGCTGTGATCTGTCCATACCTATAGCAAAAGTCACCTCCTTCATTAAGGAGCTGGGTTCTCCCTTAGGACAACAGAAGCCATGTGAAACCTCTGAAATCCTTGCTACTGCTGCCATTCCACAATGCTTCCTCTGACACTCCCGAAACCTTGCCACTCTGGAGTCCCTGGGAATCCTTGAACACTGCCAGGCCCAACTCTGGCCCTAAGACATTCCTATGTAATGGATGTGCCCAAGGCAGTAGGATTTCATCAGCTCCCCAGCCGATTCCCATGGACTGTGGAGTTTGGGAACTGCTGCTTTCTCCCTTCTCAGGAGAGAGAACCTGGCGAAGGCCACCCTCTAATGTCCTCAAACTCGGCCACATCCCAACTGTAGCTGCAATGAATGACTGAATAAAAACTGTCTTTGTGGAAAAATGTTCTGAAGCCAGGTGTGGTGACGCATGCCTGTAATCCCAGCACTCAGGAGGTAGAGACAGGAGAGTGCAAGTTCCAGTACAGCCTGAGCTACACAATGAGACCCTGCTACAAAAACAAACACCGAACCAAAACATTTTCTGGATTAATCCTTTCCTTCTCTGTCTTTCATTTTTGCTTTATGAATGTGCCAGAATGATACATAGTTCTTGTAATTCAGAAATTTCTGGCAAAGAAGAAAGTGGGGTGGGTGATAAGTACCTCTGCCCCTGGCAAGCCTGTGTCAAACCCTGGTTTCAACTGTGATGGGGAGGTTGCCTTAGGTTTGTAGTAACTGTCTCCCGGCCTCAGTTTCCTGGCCTGTGAAATGCGTACAGTACAACCCCATCTGTGCTGTGCATCTGGCACATGGTAATTGCTAAGTGGACAAGGGAGCTTGTCACTTTTCCCAGAGCTCAGGCCCTCAGCCTGAATCTTCTGGGTCCCTCCCCATCTCCCATAGGGGAATCAGAGCAGTACTCACACAGGCCGACATACTCATTGGCAAAGCCAGAGGACCCCAAGGCCAGGACCAGCAGCAGCAGCCAGAGCGCTCTGGCCTCCATGACAACGGGCGTGCTTCGGGGCCTGCCTGCTACACGGAGGATGTGCCGTGCCCCCAGGGAGGGCCCTATATACCCCTGTGTTGACACAGCCTCCCAGGACTGTTTGTTTGGGGAGGGCCCTCCATCAGGGATCTAGCTCCACCTGTTTCTCTCCTGCGTGCAATTGTGAGCTCCAGAAACTCACCTGTCCTAAGAGAGCAGGGTCGTGTCAATCGCTCCCGGAGCCTGGCCTGGAGGATGGGATAAAGGAAGCTCAGCCCCTCCATGCAGGGCTGCAGGGCAGGGCCCCGACTCTGAAAGGATTACTACTAGGGTGTCTCAGCCAAGCCATCTCACCAGGGCAATGCAGAAGACCCCTGCTCGCAAACAAGGACTTCTAGGGCCACCTAAGCCCAGGTCAGCCCCCCAACACCAGAAAACGAAACCACAACCACGACTCAGATTCTTGCATCAATCTTGTTTTATTATTTTTTTGTTTGGTTTGGTTTTTGCAGTATTGGGGTTTGAACTCAGGGTTTTGGGTTTGCTAGGCAATATCGTTTGAGCCACACCTTCTTGCTTTAGTTATTTTTCAGATAGGGTCTCAACTTTTTTGTCTGGACTGGCCTCAAACCACAATCCTCCCATTCTCTGCTTCCTGTGTAGTGTAGTTGGGATTGCTGACATGTGCCACCATACCCGCCTCTCATAACTCTTGAATGCTAAAAATTCTTTTTTTCATGTTGCCTTTTTGTCCAGCAAAACCACTTTGACTATAGCTGCATTTGAATAAAAACACAATACACACATTTGTTTTTCAAATCAACCAAGACACTTTCATCAGAGGCATTCATTTTTCAACACCTTCTTCGGTATCTAAAGCTAAACATATTTTAACACAAATAAGGACAGAGTGTTCACCTTTGCCTGGCTTGCCTTTTTGTTTTCCTTTCTATCTTTCTTCTCTCTCTCACTTTCTCTCTCTCTCTCTCTCTGTTTTATAACCCATCTTTGGAATTCAGTAAACACTATATCTTTGAATTTGTTTGATAACTGCATATCTAAATGAAGCAGGAATAATTACATCTGACTTCCTGAAGAAGAAATCCAGGCCTGATATCGAAGACAGCTGCTGATGTTGACCCCACCCAGGGCCACACCCTCAGGACCCTGGCTGGATTGAAACCCTGCTTCAGGTCCTGGTGACTGCAGTGACCTCCTTGGATCTCCTCTGCCAGGCATTCATTCTGTAGGATGTTATTTTCAGGCTTTTGTAGGGCGGGCCACCTGAAAATCTTCCAGGCACATCTTGTGTACAGCTCAGGAAGTGGGTCCATCAGCTGCTTAGACTTGTCTCTGCAGGTGGGAACCTGTGGGGTGGGCAGGGGACCCGAACCATCTAAGGTGTTTTCCCAGAGCTGTCCTTCACAAAGTGGCTGAGGAGAGCCAGGCTGCACCCTGGCTGGGAAATGGGACCTGTCCCACTTCCTACCCCCTGCCTCTGCCCAGTGCCTCTGCCCAGTGCCTCTGCCCAGTGGGCCTCCATTGACAATCTTTGCTCCTCCTGTTAAGCTAGGGAGGGAGGAGGAGGAAAGAACCATTGCTCATTGTCTCCAGGGTTTTTTCCAGAGGCAGGGTGGACTCAGGCTGACTAAGATAACATGATTACGTTTCTTCTATCAGAAGTTCCTGGGAGCCCTGTTCTGGTCAGACCCCTGTTCTCCTGCTCCATGCACCCAGAGACCAGGCCTGGCTGCGGCTGGGCAAGACCACAAATGCAGACACCAGGAATGGACTGTGGCCCCTACAGCCCAAGGGCTGAGGGAGTGGGAGAGTTATTTGAAGTCTGCCCAGAAGGGAGCATCTTCACCTGGTCACCCTGAGGGTCACTGGGGAACTGGACAGTACAGGTGCATGACCCTGTCCCAGGCAGCTGTCCCTCCGCCCTGTGGTCCTATGGTGTAGCCTAGCTGGGACCTCTGACTGAAGTTTGCATCCATTTAATGCCACCAGTGTTGACCAAGTCCCTACTGCCCTCACCAGGGTTTGGGTCTGGGAAGGAATGACACAGGTGACACATTCTTGTCCTTAGAGAGTCTCCCCTGAGGGAGACAGGTCAAGTCATAGTTAACATGGTAAAGCCAAGAACCCTAGTCCCAAGTTCTGGAGCATGTGACCTTGTTACCTCACTTTCTGTGTGTGCCTCAGTTTCGTCTCCTGTCACATAGTGCCCAGCCTACAGTACTTTGTGAGGCGGTGATGCAGAGATGAGCTGGGTGCCTGGAAACACATGATCACCTGCCTGCTGTGGTGCTACGGCCACCTGGGGTCCCTGGCTGAATAGGAAGGAAATGGTGGCACAGGTGCGGGAGGAGCCAGGTGGAGACAGTGCAGGCATCTCAGTATGAAGGTTTGGGCCGGGTGTTTGGAGATGCTGAGTGTTGGTGCGTTCCCTTCCCTCTGTTCTAGTGTGCACCCTGTCCAAGGATCCTGGGTTCTGTGAAGGACACAAGGATGGGGTGGGGAGAGGAGAGCCTTTCGTGGCCTCCCTGACCCTCTGGGGAGGACAAGTTCAAGGAGTAAAGTAGAACTAGGACCAGAGATGCAGGTCCAAGGGCACAGGCTTGAGCCGCACCCTGACAGGTGGCTGCTACAACTCGCTCAGAGTAGGACGTGAGCAAACACTGGCCCAAGGGACTTTCCTTCCTCCTTTCATTCCTGCAGCCATCACCCAAGCCATGTGCAGTAGGGGCTGCCCTGGGGCCCTTCCCAGAAAACCCCTTCCTCCTTAGGCTCTGTGGGCTGGTATCCAAGGGCAGGGCACAGCAGGGCCTTCTGGATGGGTCCAAGAGTCAGGCTGTCTCACCCTGGAGAGGGGGCTGTAACTTTCACCTGTAGGACGTACAGTCACTGGAAATACATGTAACATGCACAGAGCATGGACCACAGCTAGAGCTCAGCCTGCAGACACTGGGACCTCGGGAACCAGGCAGGGTCCCTGACCTGGAGCTCACAGTCTGGAGAGGAAGAACAAGCCTTAGAGCATGAATCATGGTGTGACACGAGAGCAGGCACTCACAGAAATGCAATGAGGCTCAGGCAGGGCGGATACCATGTCACCACTCTGTGTTCCAATGCTGTCACTCTCAGTTCCCCCAACCAGCTGAGTCAGACAGGGGAAGAAGGCACAAAGGTGGGGCAATGCTTCTCAGAAGCTTCTGCTGACCAGCTGTCACGATTTGCAGCTGCCCTGCGCACGGCCCTTTCCTCTGTCAGTTTCCTCTTGCCTCCCACAGGGGCCCTTGCCGAGCAATCAGGGCCTGAAGTGGATGTTTCGGGAGGCAAACACAGTGGTGGAGGCAGGGTGCTTCTGGGTTTGGGCAAATGACCCCACTGTGAATAAAAGGGAAACTTGCAAGCCATGCAAATGTGGTACACCCACAAAGGGGGTCCCCTCATAGGCCCTGAGTCTCCTGCCCCAATACTGGGCCTGTGCCAGTCCCCCACTCACCAGGAAGAGAAGAGATGGCCCCAGTGCTCAGAGAAAACAAGGTTCAGCTCAAGGAATACAGTAAGCTGCCTTATTGGCAGATTTATTACACAGTTTTAATCAAGCATGGACAAAATGATTCAAACACAAAAATTTAAAATTCCTACCCGGGCATTCTGCAGCTCAGCTGATGCACAGGAGCTCTGTCAATCCTACATTATCATCAGTTGTGTTTAAATTGTTACGTGATCTGCTGAGTGTTTCCCTGCCCTAAATTTTATGAAAATCTGCCTCCCCAAAAGCAAGTGGTGCCCAAAAAAGCAAGGTAGAAGTTATGGTAATCCTCCAAAGCCGGAAAAGGGCACATTATGTACTTAAATGATGAAGTGAGACTTCGAGTGGTATGTCTTTAGTGGAAGTCAGGCAGTTTTGTGAGAAAAATGAATCAAGCATCCTCAGTAAAGTGCTGACCTCTGTGCATCTTGAGCACGTGTGGCTTTTCCTCAGTGGTGGTGGTCTCCTTGGGCCATGTCTGTGGATACCAACGGTTTATTGCATTTGGTGAGGCTTTAGCCTCCACGATGAGCCCTATCGCCAGAGTTTCTGCAGGTCAGGCTGAAACCATTGTATCAGACAGGGAATGCTTGACAGAACAGAGATAAGTCAGAAATGGACCACTAAGAAGGCTGGGGGTGTGGCTCAGTGGAAGAGCACTAGCCTAGCATGTGCAAGACCTGGGTTCAATCCCCATCACCGCAAAAAGAAAAAACACAAAAGAAGGAGGGAGGGAGGGAGGGAGGGAGGAAAGAAGGAAGAAAGAAAGAGGAAATGGAGCAGCCCATGGCCGCTTGGTCTGGCAGGTGCACAGTCCCTTCCCACATAGCCCGTGTGAAGGCTACCACGTCCGCCTCTGCAGGATGAGCTCCAGCCCATAGCCTTTGCCCTCTCAAACAGATCAGGGTGACCTCACCCTGGTTTTCAGACAGTCCCCAGAAACAAACCTTCAGGTATGGGCAGCCAAGTGCCAAAGCCCTAGACAGACACCACAGATGACTCCAGGGGCCAGGGCCGCCCACCAGCATACTGGAGAAGCCCCTGCCATTCTAGGGCATCAGACTTCTTACCTGAGAGCCAAGCCAGTGACACTAACGGATTTCCAAGAATGCTAGATTGAGTAGGGCTCTCCTCAAATTTGGGGCCTTCTTAGACCCTCAAAATGTGCAGAGACCGGTAGAAGAAGGACAATCCTTACGGGGAGATAGAGCCAAACTGGAGTGATATGTTTACAAGGCAAGGAGAGCCACTAGCAGCCACCTGGGTTAGGAGAGGCAAGAAAGGGTCCTCCTCCAAAGCCTGCACAGGTTGCAGAGACACCTTGATTTTGGACCTGTGGATCAAGACTTGAGAGAGCAAATCTCTGTCCTGTAAGCCCTTCAGCACCAGGGGAGGTGTGCACCATGGCCGCTGGCTCTGAGTTCACATCTGGTGACTCCTTTCTGACTGTGACCTAAGCTGTCCAGTGGGTCAGACA